TAAAACAATTGAACGGTGGTTGAACTTTTCCCTGGGCATCACACCATTTGACTTCTTGCAGAGAGAATTGGAGAAGCTTATGTTGGTTCCCCCTTCCCCGTGATGCTGAGTAAATGAAGGAAGGTGCTGTGGCTGCCGTTTTGACCCTCGACCTGCAAAGGGTCTGGAATAGGTTCAATTCCAGGATTGAGGTGGGTCCTGTGAAATGGGGGTGCATACTGAGCGTAGGTAGGGTTATAGAAACAGGGGGACAGTTCCTTTACAAACTGTTCATCTGTAACGTAGTTACTGAATAATGCATTTTTAATAGTGTTTATTTCTTCTTTAATTGCCTTGTACATCTTTCACTCATACCTGCCTCCCAGCCCCAGTAGAATTCCAACAAAGGAGAGGAAGCATGTTGGTTTTTTATTTTTACATTATTTCAGGGGGACACTTGAAGCAATACTTTAAAAATATTTTATTTATTTACTTTTTTTAGAGAGAGAGAAATGGAGGGAGAAAGAAAGAGAGAGAATCATTGACATGTGAGAAATATATAGATAAGTTACCTCTTGCACACCCCCAGCTGGGGACCTGGCCTGCAACCCAGGCATGTGTCCTGATTGGGAATCAAACTGATGACCTTTCAGTTCATAGGCTGGCACTCAATCCACTGAGCCACACCAGCCAGGGCTGAAGCAATGCTTTAAATATTTGGAATCACAGACAGTAGTAAAAACTTTTTTTAGTGTATGTAGCTCTTTCTTCTGTGAACGTAGTAAGTTGTTATATTTCTGAGGAGAACATTGCGACTCTCCCCAAATCTAGTCTGGGTCATTCAAATTCTGACATGCCAGGAATTCTGGCTTCCCACCTGGCTCCAGACAGCCTAACCCAGTTTCCTTGAGTACTGTTTAATGGCAGGACTGTCTTGTCTTATAGCCACTGGGGCAGCTGGCATTGTCATGGTTCCTCCTGAAACTCACCTTTTGGTTGAGTGGAGACTCTTCCTCCCAGTGGCTCAGCTCAGGGTGCGGTCTCATCTCTGGGGGTCGCTTCAGGACACGCTTCCTCTGCTTTGGAGTTGCCTGGCTGAGTACATGAGCACCACTGGGTAAGATTTCTCTATGTTCTGACTCTGAGAGAAGCAGCATCAAGTGGATTTGCTTTCAGAAGGAAAAGGATTCACTCACTCAATGAACTCACTGACATTTTAATAACTTGTCAGCAAGGCACCAGGAGCCTCTGAACTATAGACTTCTCCTCACTGTATTCTCAAGGAGCACCATCTTTGAGTCTCAGGCTAAAGTAAATGTAGATTCTCTAAAGGCAATGTTTGTTCTTCCGATTTACGGGGAAGGGCAGCCACTTTGACCTCCAGGAATGCCATCTTGGGTAGCCAAGGATATCTTTCCCTGGCCTCCCTGGGACCCACTATCCTGCATGCTGGGTGGGCTACAGAAATTGCTCTGAGCTTCTGCTCTCAATGCAGATGTAGATGGGCTGTCATAAATGAGATTCTGTAGCTCAGGAAAAGGAAATACTTTCTGTTTTAAACAGAAAGATAACGTGCTTTATTATTTGAATAGCAATTAATGGTTCTTGAGATTTCTTTTTAGCCTCAAATAATAATTATTTTTAAAAGTTCTCTTTATTTATTCATCTAAGATATTTATATATATTTCTAGTGTTTAATAATAATAACAAAATTCATAAAGCCCTGTCTTGGTGTCAGGACTCTGTTATGAATCTTACAAGCCATATATTATACAAGTCTCTCAAAAATTCCATGAAGAAGGTATTATTACCAACCTCATTAATAAATAGGAGAGAGAATCTTAGGAGGTTAAGGAAGATTAAGAGCAAGAGCTAAAAAATGTTATGGGGAATATTAAAAGAGACAATTCTTGCCTTGGAAGTCTAGAATACTAGAATGAGAAGGAACTACAGAGCCATCTTCTATACAACCATCTCATTGTATAGAAAAGCCCTAAGAGGTTTAATCACTGGCCTAGCGACCTAGGGTAAGTAGAGGCAGGGGCTGGATGGGGCCAACGACTCCTGCGTCTCATCCCAGCATGCTTTCCACCCTGTGCTCCTTCCTTCAAGAGCTGAGAATATCGTAGTGATACCACCTCTTGCCTCTAATGCCCAACATGGTAACAGTGAAAGTAGGAATTGTTTCATATAGTGTGGTGGATCCTGGCTGGCAAGATCTGTGTATGTATGTTGTGGCTGCTCGTGAACAAATACATGCGGACCACAGAAGTCCTGTGGAGAAAAAGGCGTGGCCACTTTCTGAGGGAGAACGAGTGAGAGGGCCAGAGAGCCTGAGAGCCCGGGCCCTGCCTGGCCAGGCTTTTATTGCTTCTCTGGGTACATTACATGGAGGGTAGTCCTCATTTACTATGCATAGGTTCACTCTAGGGGACTACCTTTTACAGATAACAAAGGGAAGAATGTTGCTAATTACTTCAAAGGGAAGGATGTTACAGACCAAGGGGAAAAGTGGTTGATCTGGTCACACTCCATACTTGGGAGGTTTAGCACAGACTTTAGGAAATTACAGCAAGCCCTTTCTGCCTCAATTCAGGGCGAGGGAGTTTTAGCAAAAGCCAGTCTCATAGCAGTCTAGGTACAATGCAAGCCTGATTCCCCACAGGAAAACCTCTCTGTGGGTGTGGTCCTGTGTGCCACACGCAGCCCACTGGTTTTCCACATAAGAGCTGAGCTCCATTTCTATGCTATGAGAAGCCGTTTTCTACAATATAGAAATGAGGGGTGCAGATGAAAAGTTCCATTGGTACTGAGAGAGGGAGATCTTTGGGGGATGCTGATATTCCAGGAAGACTTAGTAGAGAAGGGAGCCCTTTAGCTCACACACCAAAGCAGGTAGAAGATCTGAATATTCAGGGAGTGAAGAGAACAGGTATTCCAAGGACCAGTCTAAAAAAAAAAAGCTTTGAGTTTTGAACAGGCATAAAGAGGACATCTGCCTGATGGGCAGGGGAGTCATGTAAGGGCGTAATGGGAGACAGAGGAGGCAGGTTATCCTGAGCTTCATAGGCCAGCGTGGTACCGGGGTCAGGATGAAGGCAGAGAGAGCAGATTCTGAAAATAATCTGAACATAAAATGATGAGGTGCTTGGCCAGAGCGGTGGCCATGGGAGGGTGGAGAGAGGACCTTTCCATGTGGTAACAAGGCATTTCAGGGAGAAATGTACATTTGAGGAAAGAGGCAGATGTCGAGGGGAGTGGTGTGAGGTGGGAATGAGGAGCCGTCCTTGGGAAGCAGAAAAGATGCAGTTCAACTTTGGGGTCAGAGCCACGTGCAAGGCCACGGGCCCCGAGTGCGGTTGATTTGCACTCTATTGATTTCCCTGAGCAGACCATTTTCACTCCATTGATTTTCTCGGCTTATTGACCTGTGTTTTGCAGTTGGTTAGAGGTCACTTTGCTCCCTTTTGATTCATTTTTTGCCTCTTGCTACTTCCTCTTGTTAGTGTATGTTCTAACCACCACTGCCAGCTATTGGCCAAATATGACATTTCCACCACTGATAGTTTTTATCGTTTGTAGAGAAGTTGAGGGTATAACCAAGAAGTTGAACTTAGAGTAGAATTTGGACTTGGATCAGCCATCCTGAGAAAGGTGTCACTAGGGATAGCACAGAGAGACTGGGATCACAGGAAGGTGATGCTGTCCACATGTGCAATATCCTTGGTGGACCATTAGGGGGCAGATGCGAGAGTGAGTAGAGTTGCCCACTCTCACTGCTTTCCCGCTCCCACAGTTACAGCTGAGCCACGTTTGTTGAAAACAGCTGTGAGGTGGACCCAGACACAGTTACTTCATTATCCTGGGCTCAGTTTTGTCCTCTGTAAAGTGAAAAGTTGGCATCGATGCATGATTCCCATATGTGACTCCTCCTGCTTGTTAAAATCCTGTCACCCCTGCCCTCCTCATTCGGTTGCAGTGGTTCTAGCCTGGAGCTCAGGAGTCTGTAAGTTTGACACTGTAGGTGACTCTAACAACCTGGTCTGAGGCCTGGTGTTTGTAGGTCTCTGGTCTGTGTGCCTCCAGGATCCTTCTTGTTTTATTCATTTGTCTTTTTCCTTGGGTTCAAGAGGCCTTCAGGATGCACTGTCTCCCTTTTTCAGGGAGAACCTCCTAATTGTTCACTCTTCCCATAAAAGGCACTTTTTCCCCTTATGTAAAACCTGCTTTTCTCCATTAATAGAAATGTAATATACTGTATCACCCATCCCAGTACTACATATATTTTAAGTCCCATTTCTGTTGTGGAATCACAGTGTTTCAGTTAAAGAATTCCGAGCACCAACAAGCAGGCAGAGGAAGCAACCCCGGTGGTCAGGAGCAGGGCAGGCGCCGCCCGTGAGGGAGAGAGTGCCAGCGGCCCTGTGTTTTGGCCCCATTTTGTTCTCCTTGACTTTGCCAAAGAGGAGACAGGAAAACCACAACAGATTTCATTGCTTCCTACCTATAGATTTTAATGTCTCTTGACAGGTTCCAAATTTAAATAAATGGTCTCTAAACAACACGTGTATTTTAGCCTGATGGAGAACTCCCCCAGAGAATGTCTTCCCTAGGAATGGAAATAATGGATGACAATGGCAGGAACCATTGAGCACTTGCTGTGGTCTGTACGCCCTGGGCTGAAGACTTTTGTGCATCATCTTCGTTCACTCCTCACGAAGCCGTCTCAGACAGGCACAGTCATCATCTCCACTTAAAAGGTGAACTAACGAAGTTTCGAGAGTTTAAGTAATACACCCATAACCACACAGCTGGTGAACAGGGGACAAGAACTGGGCCTCTCTTTCTAGATCTTTAAGGCCTGAGGGCTGAGTCATCACACTGCACTGCTTGCACTGGGTGACCTGATGGAGGAAAGGGAGGAACGAGGGCCTGCACGAGTGGCGGGGGGCTACATCTGGATTCCCAGACATCAGTCATTATTCCACAGCTTTCTCATTTTTTAAAAAGCTGGACATCTTATCTCTTCTCAGCCCTTTGGCCAAGATCAAGGCTAGTAGCTGTTCTTTTAAGTTTAAAATGCTGGACATTTTGTATAGCGTAGTGGAGACTGTAAATATTTTTTGTGCCATGGTTAGCCTCAGTGCACTAATGCAGAGTTTAAAATTTCTCCGGCTTTGCCTGTGTTTAGGGCGAAGGCTGTTTTGTCAGGTTTTGCTTAATGTCTTCTCCATTCTCAGGTTTCAGGAGTCTCTTTGACTTGTGCCTCCACGAGAGCCTCTCTCAGCTCTTTCCTAAGTCAGCGATATTTGATTGTTATTTGGTACTCACTGCTTGTTAGCCTGGCCACGGGAAGTGGTGGGGAGTGGAAGAGGTGTTCTCTGTCACCCTGAATATGTAGACGTCATCAGAGAGGTGCTCTGCCCCTGGGTGCTCCCAGGGCTTCCGCCCCCTCCCAGAGGTGCTTCTGGCTCAGGAGGCATTACTGCCCCACCCCCGGGAGCAGAGGGTTCTTGTCTATATTCTTTTCTCAGCTGCCCTAGGTTTCCCCCCTGGCCCTAACGCCACAGTGTGTGTTGTTCTCCTCCTTTTTAAAGCGTTTGTTCAGTTGGGGAGACAGAGCCACAGGGTATGGGTTAGGTTTCTTGTTGTTTCCTGCAGCGGCTGCAGTTTTCTTCCTCCAATACTGTCGCATGAGGGATGGTTTCTCGGGACTCTTGCCAGAATTTTTTAAGTGCCCAGTTAGGTCCGTAAAGAAGAGAATGCAAGTGTGTGTGGATTTCTTGTATATTCACTGGCCCACAGGGGTTCTGAACACTCTCACTGTTACCGAACAAGAAGAGGTCTGAGGGAGGGGCAATACAATATTTGGCCCACCTAGGGATGCCCAAAACTGCTATACAACAGGGGCCCCTCCCAAAAACAAAATACTAATATCTACTAAAATCTACTGGGCCCTTCTGTCCGCCGCCAATTGGAAAGACATCTCTCAATGCCAGAGATTTGTGAAAAGGTAACAAAATGTTTATTTAATGCTATTCAGGCCTAATGCCTCCACTAAAATATCAAAGTCCTTTAGGGTATACACCTACACCCACACAGCGCTCCCTTCTCCCACTGTCCCAACTCCGGGTACTGTAAATCAGGAAAAGAGCACACGTCTGTGTTGCAGGCCGCTGGCACCGTCAGCTGTGTCACTGTGCAGGATCTCGAGTTAATCCAAAGTACTGTGCTACCCTCTCATGGTCCACTGGCATGAGTCCTTTGTACCCAGTTCCAGTCAAAGTCTCTCTTGCTTTTTCAGGCCCCGCAACCAAAGGGGGCACCCCAAAGCCGCGTGGGCCTCTTCTACCAAAGCTGCAGGAGTCCGCACTCCACCAAAAGCATGTGGCTTTCTTCTTCACCTGGCTGCAGGGATCTCCCTTCTGGCAAAGTTGCGTGGTTCTTCCCTTTCACCTGGGAAGGAGGGGGTCCACACCCTGCCAAAACCACGTGGCTCCCTCTTTCACCTCACCTAGAAGGGGTCCTCACTCTGCTTAAACCGCGTGGCTCTCCCTCATCTGGCCAAGCGGGGACCCTTCATGTCTCGGAGCCAGTCTTTTCCAAGCTCCCACACAGTGGCACCCTCCCTCTGGGGCGCAGCCCCTCATTACCTCCTGAGTCCAAGCCCTTCTCACTCAGGAGTGTAGCCCCCTTAGTTCCCATCTTGAGTCCCTGCTCACTTTCTCCCTCACTCCAGAGAGCAGCCCTTAGTTGCCATTCTCCTGAGTCCCTGCTAGTTCCATCTTGAGTCCAAGCCCTTCTCACTCAGGAGTGCAGACTTTAGTTACATCCTCCTGAGTCCCAGTCCACTCACTCCGGAGAGCAGCCCTTAGTTACATTCTGAGTCTCTTCTCACTCAGGAGCGCAGCTCCTAGTTCCCATCTTGAGTCCCTGCTACTCCCAGTTCCATCCTGAGTCCCCCCTAGTTCCATCCTCAGTCCCTGCTACTCCCTCTCACTCAGGAGTGTAGCTCCTAGTTTCCATCTTCAGTCCGGAGAGCAGCCCTTAGTTACATCCTGAGTCCAAGCCCTCCTCACTCAGGAGAGCAGCCTCTCAGTTCCCATCTCGAGTCCCTGCTAGTTCCTTCTCTCTTCTCCCTTCTCAGGAGCGCCGACCCTAGTTACATTCTGAGTCTCTGCCACCACCTTCTCCCTCCTCCTTGGCTCCAAACTTGGCCACTGCTATTTAACGTATCTATGAAACCAGTTAAAGGTTATAGATATGTTAAATAATCATTCCAGAGGTTAGCTGCAAAACTATTGCTATGCAAAATAGCTCTCAATGGCCCTGGCTCCATTCTTTCTTCCCCCTGTGGGGGGGGGGGGGTGAGGACATCTTATATGTCTCTCCAATATTCCTATACACTTTGAATTCTGGACACCATTCCAAATCTTTTTTTGGGGGCCCCCCTGGCTGCACCCTGTATCATCACTAGCTCATACTTGGCCTTTACCAATTTGTTAACGATTTTAGCTGAATTCTCCAATGTCCAATATTATCTGTCCTAGGTAAGCAAGAGCTTGTGACTTGTCACCTCTCCTCGAAAGCACCTGTCTTTCCTTAGGTTTTGGGTGAGCTGGTTGTCCTGTTACTTCAACTCTCTGTTAGTTTCAGTAAAGTTTGGGATGTGCTATTTGGCCATTTAAATTAGGTAGGTGTAAGTGAGGTTCTTTCCCGATTTTTCCGTCTCAGGTGGAAACCGGGTGTCTCGCCACGTGCTTATAAGCCTCCCCGCTCTTGCTCACCTTTGCTGTGCTTGCAGTTCCCTCCCCCTTCCTCTGCCTGGTCTGCTCCTACCTGTCTCAGTGACCTCATGTTCTCATCCTCTCAGAAGACAGGGGCAGGCTTACACAGTGACCGAACCATCAAATTCCTTTCAGAGACAGAAATCGGGATTTATTATCAGAGGATCTAGAACTTGGGTCTCACTGTTATTGTTGGCAAATCCTTGGTCATATTTGAGCCTTGGTTTCCTTATTTCTAAAGTAGGAGTGCCAATTTCTGCCCCACTTCCTTTGCCAGGTAAAACAATGTGTAGTCATCTCTGACACACTTTTCAAGTTCAGCTCCAGCCCATCAACTCAGAAACAGGCCTGTCCTGGAGGCTCTTCCCAACAACTTAAGAAGCAAGTGGCCCAGGGGACACTAGCTCGGTCTTGGGTCGGAGTGGAACCACAGGGGGACAAACCCGGCCCTCAGCCAGCAGCCAGGAAGTAGAAAAGGTTAAAGCAAAAGGCTTGCCTTGTTTTAGAAACCCCACATTTTCTTACTTACGAAGTTTGTTGCCAAATACTGAGGAAAATAAATTGATTTCCATCTTTGCTGATGTGTTAAAATTGCAGCAACACCTCATATTACCAAACAAATTTTACTGTATAAATTGGAACATAATTGGTACTTCAGGCAGGTCACAAATCTGCTTTGGCAGGAGCGTATCACTCACGGTACACTGATTATAAAAATTAGTTAATTCAAGACAAATACTACATTCTCTGATTCCTGGCACAAATTCCTCCAAATCCTCCATGCGTCACTGATGCTGAGCTAAAGGATAGCTATCCGTCAGGTCAGTTTATTTTCTGCAGACTTGATTTAGATGGTACTTATGCTTGTGCATCCACCAAGAAGAGATAGATCTCATTTGTTAAATCTACCAGGCAGGGACCTGAATAATGGGATTTAGTAATATTGCACTAATCTGCTGCTTTTATTTACTACTCCCTGTCTTACTGGTGTAAATCTTCTCATGGAGAACACCTCCTAATTCATTCAGTCGGACTCCTCTCGGGGAGCAGGGTGGCTCGTAGTAAGGTACATCCTCATGAGAACTAGCATTTCTGAGTGTCTGTGCCTTGGATGATGTCGGTGTCCCACCCAGATGCCCCCCGAACATCTCTGTAATGATCATGAGTGTATGTGTGTTGGAGAGGGGTAAGTGCAACAAAGAGGGTGTTGGTGTTTTTTCATTTCCAATAGCCAGTATCTGCAGCTCACCCTCTTCTCTCCATCCTGCCTGGACTGTGTCTCAGGCTCCTTCCTCCAGCCTCCTAGGGCCTGCTTGGCCACAAGGATTGCCTTGGCATTTACATTCCCTAGGAACACCGCTTATCCAATGACTGATGGATTCAGGGGCACGAAAGCCTAGTTCCCTTCATGCAGGGTAAATTATACTCCAGAGTTCTCCTGCAGGATCAGACGGAAGCCACTCTCTACAAACTCGGCCCCAAATTGCACCTGTGCTCAGCTTCTTCCCCGTTCATGCCTGTGTTCCCCACATCCTCAATCCTGGGAGCACTTCCTGAATACATACTGTGTACAGGAGTCCTCATCTCAGGGCCAGCTTCTGGGGGATTGGGTCTAAGACACTCAGAGTGCTGAATATAGGGTAGACACTTCAAGTTCACTATCTCTTTTAAATCCTCTTGATAAACCCTATGAGTTAAGTATTATTATTACCCCCATTTTATATATAAGGATATGAAATTCAAAGAGGGTTAAGGGACTTGGCCACCAGTGTTCCAGTTAGTGTTGCATTAGAAAAACCACCGCCAAGTTTAGTGGCTTGAAACAGTCAAATTTATTTTGCACATGAACCTGCAACTTGGGCAAGAGTTGGTGGAACAGCTCATTCAGCTATATGCAGAGCCAGCTGGGTCAGCTCCACTGGGTCTGGGTCATTCTTTTCCAGCAGGGCTCCCTCGCACAGCTGGCAAGGATGCTAAATTGTGGCTTTGCTCTACAATGTGGCGTCTCTGTCGGGTGGCTTGGACTTCCCCACAGCATGGTGGCTGGGCTCGAAGATCAAGCATCTTAAGAGACAGAAAGTGGAGGATGCCAGCCTCGAAAGCCTGGGCCCGGAAATGGGCATAGCCTCATTTCTACTGTATTGTGTAGATCAAGCAGTCACAGAATCCAAAATATGCGTATATGTATATGCATGTGCAAATGTATACTTGTATCATCATGTATATACAATATCTGTAGCTAGCTGTGTATCTCTACCTGTTGATGGCAAGCTTGGGACCATTTTTCTAAACTGCCGTACTAGTAAGCTAGTGTGAGTTTAAGACAGGATTAAAATCCAGGCCTGAGTAAATCTACAGTCTATCCTTTTGCTTCTCAGTGTCCTTAGGGTACCTCATTGTTTTCTTCTATTGGCTG